GTACACATTTGAAAAAAGGAGAACAATAACGAGTCGCCTCCGGACCGATTACCCCGCCGACAGACACCGTCTTCTTCGAAAACGAAATCGTGCAGCTGCGCGCACGCACTCACAACAAGCCGCATCACCGGGGGCCAACAACCTACTACAAAATGTATAACAAAAAAAAAAAGGAAAATAACTGCGGATGAATAGTGTTTCCGACGACGACTCCGCGACACTAGCGATCAATGACAACCCGCACTGAACGTACACTACACCCCAGGGCACGGAACACGCCAGCACCAGCTAAATAACACAGGTTGCCTCCGCTGGACACAACACAGAACGACCTCCATAAGGACGACAGAGCCACGTGCCGTCGACGCGGTGCCCGCCCTCACGCGTGTTTCATCCACTCCGCCAATGCCTCACGTAGCGCCAACACACGGGGCCGATTGAAGTTCTCAGCAATGGGGTGGGGTGGATGATCCAACCCCAAGTCCACTCGCCGCCGCACGCCATTAGCATCGACCTCCCACAGCAAGTTGTCGTCGAACTCCATGCCGGCGTCAAGGAGGATGTTGTACAGAATGCACACGGATTGGAACTGTTGTGGGAGAGTGTCCATATTCGTCTTGTGTGTGCGGAGGAACAACCTCCACATCCCTTTCAATCTCCTGAAAGCTCTCTCCACTGCTCCCCTGGCGACCTTTTGCTTGTTGTCGAACCTCTCCTCGTCGGGGATTTGATCGGTCCCCCCGTACGGCACGACAATCCACTCCAGCGGCCGATACCCGTTGTCGCCCAGAATGTAATCGTGTGTCGTCACTCCTAACAACAGCACAACAGGAGCTCCACGGAAAAGATCACCCTTCTCCGCACGCGCCCACAGACTGGAGAGCTGAAGCACCCGAATGTCATGGCATCTCCCTGGGTAACCGATGAAAACGTCCGTGATGCGCAAGTCCAGGTCCACCACCACCTGCGCTACAACGGAGAAACGATGCTTCCGGTCGAAGTAGTTCTCTGAAGGAGCGTTCGCCGGTTTGTCGACGTAAACGTGCGTGCAGTCTATGCAGCCATAGCAGTTGGGAAAGCCCTTCGCCTCGAAGGCACGCAGAACGAGCGTACGACGCATCCCAGTAGGCCAAACGATCTTGTCATTGTACACCCTCAGAAGCGCCCTCGTAACGTCCTCCACTGCGATCAACCTGGATGCGCGCCCTATTCCGAATGGCGACGTGCTGCTCTCGCACGTCTCACCGCTCGCCCATCGGTACAACGCATATGCAATGATGTGATCCGGCTGCAAAGGAACCCTGGAGAATGTCACCCGCCGCTGCAGAAGAGGAAACAACGCCTCCACGATCCCCATGAACACCCTGGGGGTCATCCTCAGCTTTTCCTTGTAGTACTCGTCCGAGGCGTCGTCCGTCTTCCGCAGATCCTCCCACGTGCCACCTGTCCTTCTCCGCATCCACCACCTTGGAGTCGCCCACGGTATCGCCCCGGATGACATGGAGGCGCAGAACTGGGTAATGGATTCGGACATGGACACACAGTCTGGTGCCGCCATCACGTGGTGGAGGAGCTCACGCTGCCTGCGGATAGACACTCTCGTCCTCAACCGCGCCGTCGTTCTCTCGATGCGACATCGTATGGCCACTGCCGACACTGCTGCAACCACCGCATTTCTCTCCACCCTGCTCAAGGTCTTGCCACGAACCTCCTGCGACACGTGTTCCATCACGATGCCCCGACGGCGCCTTGTTCAACAAGCACAACAGACCGACGACTGGACCCTCGTCACACACTGTCCCAGCGGATGTGGAGGGGTCGAGGGCAGCTCCTCGTACACGAATGACGGGCGCGTGAAGCTATGGCGAGCCAACGGATCGTCGTCGTCTACAGGAAGACGAAGGCGAGACACACACCACTTCACGCGCTCCAACGTCGTCACCTTTCGTGCTGCGCCGGCTGACGATCGGATGAACGAGTCGCCAACAGCGATGGGCGCCGCAAATCGTTCTCGCACACGTTTCGCACACTGGTAGCTCCAGGGGTGGTGACGCCACGGCGCGCCTTTACCTCGGCTCACGGTTTGAAATTCGAATTTCGAAAAGGGACCTTCGCGCCTCTTTTCGCAGCGCAGCATCGCGGGCCTCCTTGCGCCGCCAGTGGACCACGCCCAACGACGGACGGACATCCCTCGACGACGACGGACATCCTCTCCCGCAGCCTCGCATATGCATATGAAATTGGTCGCGGGATACCTCCAAGGTTTTTCCTTGGGACCCTTTCGTTTAGGACGCGGTGTAACGACGGCGGCGAATTCCTTGAAATTTTCCAAGGACTTCGTCCTAATTCCTGAGGATTTTTCAAGGAGGGTCTAACGAGGCCCTTAGTTCATGGAAGTGGGACCTAGCCCCGGGCAGGTGGCGCTTGGGCGGAGCGCTATTGCGGGCGGAAGCGCCCCGGTCCAACCCCAGACGCCAACCGTCGTCGATGATCCCACCAAAAAGATTCGAACCTGGGCCTGCAGTTCAACAAGTGGCGTTGCAGACGTGCTTACCTTTTCTCGGGGCAGCGCCGTCGGGACTTTCCGTGCCTGGGCGCTTGCCCGAAAAGGAACTGGCAGGCCGAGCAGAGTCGAGCTTAGGCGTAGGCGTGCGGAAATGCAGCCGCTCTCTCTGCCTCTCGGGGCTTGCAGCGTTGTGCCCGAAGATGTGGAGAGTTCCATTCACACTCGGCCCAGAAACTAAATAGGTGTGTCCGCGCGGCGTGGTGAAGTGCACCCGTTCTCCCTCCCTTCCCTCCGTCGCTCGCTCTCTTCCTCTCTCCCTCCCTCCGTCCCTCCCTCCTCTCTTAGCAGTGTTACGCGGGAAGAGGTGGCCTAGAAACCAAATAGGTAGGCTCGTCCGGCGCGAGCTACGTGCACCTCTCTCTCTGTCTCTAGCTTTCTCTCCCTCCCTCCCCATACCCCTCCTTCCCTCCACCCTCCATCCACGTTTAGGGCTGCAACCCTGTTTTTTGTGGGGGTGCCATGTTGCGAGTGGGACAGGACCTGTGCACGGTCGATACGGGAAGGACGTAGGCGGGATCATGCTGTGGCGGGGATCATGGCGTGAATTCGGAGAGGCAGGAGGAGAAGGAACACTAGGGGGAGGTCAAGTGCCTGGTCAGGCAGGCAGCAGGTCGCAATCGAGGGTGAGGGTGTACGAACCGATGAAGTGTGGGGGAAAGAAGGCCAAGGGAGTAGGGTAATGGGTGCAGGTCGTGCAGGGGGATCCGGACAAGGTGGGGAAGAGGAGATCGGAAGGCAGGAAAATGAGCTCAGCGCGGAGGGGGGGGGAACAGGTTGTGAGGAAAGGAGAGAGCAGGGTAATGACGAAGGAAGGGCCTGAATCGTGAATGGAATAGTAGGGTAAATGTGGTTATGCAGGTGATGGAGAGCGAGCGATGAAGAGAGGGAAAGGACATACGAGATCCGCAGCCCCCCATCGAGAAATGGAGAGCGGGAGTTCGAAGAGGATCCTAACGGAGGGGAGTAAGGCGTGGGGAACGACGGGAGAAGAGAGGCAACGGAAGGGGGGTATTTGATGATTCAGAGCGGGACGGAGAAAGAGAACGAGAAGAGTGAGGGAGAAAGAGATGGCGAGAGGGACAGGGCAAAAGGATAGTAATCTTGGGGCCACTATCTTCTCCTTATGGAGGCACGCCCGTCATCATTCCCAAGTCTCGCCGTACCCTTCTTCACCCGATTAAAACGTACGGTCATCTAGACTGAAATGTGGCCGAATTCTGCTATAATGACCGAGTACGTTTTATTCCGGTGAAAGGTAGATGGTTCTTGACTGTGTGATATTGGTACACCCTTTGAGCCCTTCTCCTCTATCATGTACCTTCTTTTTTTTTGTGTGTGCTGCTTTGCTGTCGTCTCTTCACGACTGGAGCTCCTCCCTTCGCGCTCTTGCTACCATATCCTTTTTGTTTTTTCAATTCCGGTCTCCATTCCATTGTTGGGGACCGGTTCCATCCCTCCTCTATCATATCTCGCGCGTGCCGGCGTGGTTGATTCGAACACCCGATGCTCATCGGCTCTGCGTCGAAATCAAATGCAGAATTCATGATAGCATCTGAGTGATTTTAATCAAGCCACGATATTCGTGAACTCCCCAACCAATCAATCCTCTCAGTCGAGCCTTCTTCCACTCGTCAAGATGGTGACGAATGAGATTGAGTAAAATGGATGGATTAATCTCGTTAAACGACGGGCGGTTCAGTCGGGCCTTCTTCTCCACTCGTCAAGATGGTGATGAATGAGATTGAGTAACATCGATGGATTGATTGAACTCGGTGATTAACGAGCGGTCATAGATAAGATCGGTTGATTTTTTTTACTCTCTCTCCGCATCATCGAGTATTATTACTGTAATTGAATTAATCCATCGGCATGCTACGCATATCATGAGATTTTTTTACCACATTTCATCATGGAATTCTGTTCCGGACAACAGATGTCGTTCTAAAAATCGCTTCAGCATTATTCTTCTGCCTTTCCTCTCTCTCTCTCTCTCACTGCATGGCTCTCTCTATTCTGAATGTGCACACAGAGAGAGGGGTGTTTGGTGTTTCTCGCTCGCCTGCGCTCTTGAGAGACCGAATCCGATGAGCCGAGAAAGAGTTCGTCTCGCCAGCTTGTCATTTTGGCAGAATACATTCTCTGCGGATATCCAATCAAACCTTCAAAAACGAAAAAAAAGCATTCAATCCGTGGCATCCAGAAAAGTTTATAAGCTTCAACTCACAGGGCGGGCCCCAGAGGGGGGGGGGGGAGAGAGAGAGAGAGAGAGAGAGAGAGAGAGAGAGAGAGAGAGACCATGAGATCTCTAGATGGATAGCTGTCTCTTATACACATCTAGATGTGTATAAGAGACAGCTCCAATCCTGCTGAGGAGGCAACACATCAATGAAAGGCGCACACATCG